ACTTCCGCTTTCTTTATCATCAAGAAGACCGCTTTTCCTCCGCCCAGCGCCCCCTGCCGGTTGCAGCGCGGAAAGACCTCCTTTTGAGCGGAGTTGCCGTGGCAACCGTCGGGGGGCTACAAGCATGGGGGCGCCTGCTGGAAGGGGCGCCAGGTTGGGGAAGCTGGGTTGGCCTGCCCTGAGCAGCAGCCCCTGAAGGGCCTTTCTACCCAAGTGGGGCCGGCTCCTCCCTTGGAGACGTCAGCTGGGCGGCCGTCTCCTCCAGTGGTAAGGAGTTCCGCAGGCTCAATGCGACCCCGGCCCCGGTTTTTGGGGGGGGCGGGGAGGCAGCACTGGGGGCTCATTAGAAACCAGGCAGAATTGTGGAAAACTTATTTTTTTCAAACTGGGCAATTGGAAGAGGGGTGGACTTCAACTCCCAGAATTCCCCAGCCAGCTTTGCTGGCTGGGGAATTCTGGGAGTTGAAGTCCATCCCTCTTCCAATTGCCCAGTTTGAACAAACCCTGTCTTAAATACAGGAACTCCTCGGCTTAATGACCACAATGGAGCCCAACATTTATGTGGCTAAGCAAGACACCTGTCCATTGATCACTGGCCCACTTTACCACCTTTCTGGCCACCGTCGTTAAGTGAATCATTGCAATAATAGCCTGTCAAGAAAGTGACCCCAGGACACTGAAACCGTTGTAGGTAGGAGTCCCTTGCCAAGCATCTCAGATAACATAACAGATAATCAGAATTGGAAGGGACCTTGTAGGTCATCTAGTCCAACCCCCCGCCCAATCTCAATCTTTGATCATTTGACGGTTGTAAGTGTGCAACATGGTCGTGGTGTCGATGCCGTTGTCCCTTTGAACGGGTGCTAAATTGAACTGTCGTAGGTTGAGGTGTACCAGTGAAGGCCAGCCTTATTGGTTTTTCTATTTTGTTTATTGAATCAATTAACTGTAAATATACCAAATAAATAAATTTAATTTAACGAATGCAGTCAAAGGGAAAGAGGGGGTCTTGTTGGCTGGCTAGTCTTTTCTCACCCTTTCTCTCCTCCCCACCCTTCTTTTACACAGGGAATCCTGCAATCACCAGAAGCTGGCTTCCAATAATGTAATTACTTTTCACTGTACTTTTATTTCACGATACTTTTATTTTAGAATAGAATAGAATTCTTTATTGGCCAGGTGTGATTGGACACACAAGGAATTTGTCTTGGTGCAAATGCTCTTAGTGTACATAAAAAAAGATTCATTCATCAAGAGTCACGAATCATCAGGTGCAACATTTAATAATAGTCATAGGGTACAATAAGTAATCAATCATACTAGGAAACAGTCAATATACATCGTAAGAATACAAGCAACAAAGTTACGGTAATACAGTCACAAGTGGGAGGGAATGGATGATAAGGAGTGATGAGAAGATTAATAGTAATAGTAGTGCAGACTTTGTAGAGAGTTGGACAGTGTTGAGGAAATTATTTGTTTAGCAGAGTGATGGCATTAGGGGAAAAAACTGTCCTTGTGTCTAGTTCTGGTGTGCAGGGCTCTATAGCATCGTTTTGAGGGTAGGAGTTGAAACAGTTTATGTGGGGATGTGAGGGGTCTGTAGATATTTTCACAGCCCCCTTTTTGACTCGTGCAGCATGCAGGTCCTCGATGGAAGGCAGGTGGGTAGTAATTGTTTTTTCTGCAGTCCTAATTATCCTCTGGAGTCTGGGTCTGTCCTGTTGGGTTGCAGAACAAACCAGACAGTTATAGAGGTGCTGATGACAGACTCCATAATTCCTCTGTAGAACTGCATCAGCAGCTCCTTTGGGGCAGTTTAAGGTTTTATTCCCCCCCCCCCCCATTTGCTGGGATGTTGTGAAAGCTATTTAGGATGGCATTCGATTGTATCAAGAATAATGGGGAAAGCAAGTAGAGTAAAAGAAGAGACTTTCTTTCTTTCTAACGCCTTCTTCACTGCACACCAGAACAACTAGACACAAGGACAGTTTTCCCCTGCATGCCATCACTCTGCTAAACAACTAATTCCCACAACACTATCAAACTATTCACTAAGACGGTATTACTATTATTCTTCTCATCCTTCCTATTACCTATCTCCTCCCGCTTATAACTATAACCTTGATGCTTGAATCTTTACAGTTTATATTTTAGTGTCATGACAACTCGTAAAGCATTCCTGGCTTGCTCTCGAGTTGCCATAAGAAGTGTGTGTGTGTGTGTGTGTGAGTTCAGTTCCTATGACCAGAAGCACATTCCATGCATGCCTTTCTCCAGATTGTATCCCAGGTTACCAGAGCCAGCCAGAGAGGCGTGTTTTCTACAGCCTGGGGAAAGTGCTCCGTTGGAGAGAGTGATTTATGACACACCCTGGGAGGAAGGGGAGAAATAGGGTCATAGGTGGGCGGTAAATTACATGGGGCAGAGCCGGACAGCACTTGGGAATGTGCTGACATGTTGCTCCTAATAAATAATTGGATTTATTTTGAAACTTGAGGCTCTTGAATTAATTAGGGCATCCATCGGAACCCTGACATTTCTCTTCGCCAAAGAAATTTTAGCCTCTCTTGTGGTCATAAGTCAAGGACCACCTGTACAGAGGCTCTCCGGGGTCCACCGATTTCAGCCTTTCTTTCTTTCTTTCTTTCTTTCTTTCTTTCTTTCTTTCTTTCTTTCTTTCTTTCTTTCTTTCTTTCTTTCTTTCTTTCTTTCTTTCCAGGGTGGAGCAGGACCGAAGGATGAGTGTCAAATACTGGCTCCTCTTCCTGCTGTATTTCGTGCAAGGAATCCCTTACGGGCTGCAGTCCGGGCTGTTGCCGATCTATTTCCGCACCGTGGGCCTCTCCTTCACCAAGATCAGCCTGACCAAGCTTCTTTACCTGCCTTGGTTCTTCAAGGTGTTCTGGGCCCCCTTTGTGGACTGGTATTTCTCCAAGAAAAGCTGGCTGATCTTCACCATGTGCGGCTTGGCCCTCACCTGCCTGGCTTGTTCTTTCCTGACCCCAGGGGAGGACTTCCTGGGCGTGGCTGTCGTCCTGCTGCTCATGAACCTCTTCGCCTCCGTTCAGGACGTGGCGGCCGATGGGATCGCCATCCAGCTGTTGAGGCCAGAGGAGGTGGGATTTGGGAACAGCATCCAGGTCGTGGCTTACAAACTGGGTTCCGTCCTGGCTGGAGGCGGCCTGCTCACTTTCCTCCATCACCTGGGCTGGGGAGCCCTCTTCGTCTACCTGGCTGTCATCTACGCTGCGGCCATTGGGTTCACCTCCAAGTTTCACCTGAGGGATTCTCGTCAGGACAGCCAGGCCAAGGAGAGCAATTTAGGCCTTCTGGGTTTTTTCCATGAGCTCCTCCTTGTGCCGGACACGCTGTGGACCGCTGGCTTAGTCCTCATCTACAAGTTGGGTGAGTCTTTCCCCAAAGCGAGGAAGAACCTTGCTAACACAGGTAGTCCTTGACTTAC